GTGATTTTTCCTTGGCAGTTTTTTTTTTTGGTGCTGCTTTAATTTCTTCTCCCTCGTCCGCGGTTTCGCGCCCAAATTCCCTTCCCTTCCTATTCGAACGCCTGAGGCTCAGGCTACATACACACAAAATACAACGACCAATAATATTTGCTATAGCGCTGAAACGATATTTCTAAGAAACTCGTTCTCATGTAAAAGTTTCCGCTATGCGCTTAATTTTCACGTTAAAAAATGAGTAAAATGCAATGCCGTGAAATTCATCTTAAAGATAAATGTAGGACTGATCTTGTCCCTTTTTTAGGCAAACGGGCAGCATAAATGAATGGCCAATACTCAGTTGATCGTTTTATTCCGTCCTTCATTCGAAAGCCACTATCTGATTATGCTATTTTTTTTCGTAAGCACGAGGACACTGAATGTAAGCGGTGAATGATTTCGAATGATATCCGCCTGCACTGCGGCAGGTGATACTGACACGAGTTTAAAAAAACCTCAAACAGTCCTTAATTGGGAAGGAAAAATCTCGGGTAAAGGATGGGCGCGTTTTAGCTCATCTTGAGAGTGTCATTGTTATACAAGCGCAATTTCATATAATAGGAAGGTCACCTTTTCAGTTATCGGCGGCCCGCTCTCGGAAATTGGTTTGTGCTTATTTTAGTCGGTGGTTGGAATATTGATGAAGGCACGTCTCAGCCTTTCTTTCCAGGCGATCATCGACGTATCACAAAGAAAATTTATCATACTGAAAATGGGAGCGAATAGTAAAAGAGGTTGCGACATCTGAAATCTGTCAAATCTACCTTTCATTTCTTCCGTCGGCTTTCGGCGAAGTCAAAGATATTTCTAAAACTCATTAATAATTCATAAGTTTAATAGCCAATAAAAAATGGCTAAATTTGTCACGTGCATGAGTTTTGATACCCAATGAAAACACAGATGAAACAATACTCAGTTGATCGTTTTATTCCGTCCTTCATTCGAAAGCCACTATCTGATTATGCTATTTTTTTTCGTAAGCACGAGGACACTGAATGTAAGCGGTGAATGATTTCGAATGATATCCGCCTGCACGGCGGCAGGTGATACTGACACGAGTTTAAAAAACCTCAAACAGTCCTTAATTGGGAAGGAAAAATCTCGGGTAAAGGATGGGCGCGTTTTAGCTCATCTTGAGAGTGTCATTGTTATACAAGCGCAGTTTCATATAATAGGAAGGTCACCTTTTCAGTTATCGGCGGCCCGCTCTCGGAAATTGGTTTGTTCTTATTTTAGTCGGTGGCTGAAATATTGATGAAGGCACGTCTCAGCCTCGTCTTTCCAGGCGATCATCGACGTAGCACAAAGAAAATTTATCATACTGAAAATGAGAGCGTATATTAAAAGAGGTTGCGACGCCTGAAATCTGTCAAATCTGCCTTTCATTTCTTCCGTCGGCTTTCGGCGAAGTCAAAGATATGTGAACTTAACACATGCCATGACCATAATCCACACTAGTAAAAAAGCTTTTCAGTACTTATCAATGATTTGTCGTCTTGTCAATGTTCCAGAAGTATTGTGATTTTTGAGGACTACATGTAATGTATCGACACTCGTTCTAGTGACAAAGGGTTGCCGTGTCAAGGCTGTGTAGAGTATTTTGTTTATAATGCCTGTTGCCCAAGTTTCATGGCGAATAAGGATGCGTAATTATCTGTGAGCGACAAAATTTATTATTCTCCCAAACAATTGTTACAAACAACAAAAATATACTTTCAAAAACATTTAGGCTAATCGGTTTTCAAAAATGCAATCCGTTTCAATTTTTCTTCAAGTTCGTCCATCTTTCCTTCCTTTAGTTTTTGCTGTGTTAGTTTCATCTTCTTTTAACTTTTTAAGCGGTTGTTTCAATGTTTCACTCAATCTGGAGGCAGTTCCCTCTGAATTTCGATAAATTTCGTGACATAGCTCCTTTGATACAAAGCCGGCATGGCATCCGGCTGAGGTCAAGTGCACTCCGCACGTTCTTCAATACCGGATACCCCATCTTTACTCCTGTGTCTGTCGCTAGTCTCGCTGATCTGTTGCGGCATGTTTCCCAGCCAGCCATATTAATGTTTACTTTGACTACTTCGATCGGATCGGGCCGCAGAGATTGCTATGGAAGCATCTCATTCTCCTTTAACAGCTGTTCGGAACTTACCCGGAAGTTATTCGACTTGTTTGGGGTATCTCTTCCGAGAGCATTTTGCTGAACGAATCTTATGCCCTATTCACACTAACTATATTTAAAAAAATGAAAAACAGATACCTAATTTTCAAAAAGGATTCAAGTGAATTTCAACATGTTTTGTAATTTGCACGGCTAAATTTGCGATCATTAAATCAGTAAGCAGCTTTTATGAAAAGGAAACAATTGTTAAACAATAAAAATGCAAGCAATGGAAGTTGTTATTTGTGATCAACTGATACTAACTCCGTGAAAGGATTTAAATAATAATAGTGAAGATAATTCCCTGTCACATCATAGCTCAGTGTATCGAGTCTTCAAGCTGTAATTGACCTGTTAGAAGTTGTTATAGCCACCCGTGTTGTAATCAGAGTCGTAAGGTTGTGTTTTGGGCATCGCATAGTTATAAGTTCATAGGCAAGTTTAGCCAATCACATTCGGAGAAGAAGCTAGACACCTTACGTACACTGAGTAGATCGACTACTCCGTATGATTTTTAAACAACAACTTAAGAACCTTTTTTACCAGTATTGTAAAAGTTCTATATAATACTCGACAACTTGTAATTTTTATATTGCTCTCCTTGTTTCATACTGACTGGAAAGCCCAATCGTAACAGTGAAATTTGAGAAAGAAAATCATTTTGACAAGGGTGACGCCTCGAAGGTTTCATGCGGATGAGTCACTTCTAGCCAATCACATTAGACTTGCATAAGCATTAATCTGAGCTAAGAGAATGGGTTTACTAGTCGGGTATTAAAGAAAGGTGCGACAACAATATTGACGGAGTGCAATATAGAGAGAATTGTAAAAACTAGAAGCTACAAAGACAATAAACGTCCTTAATCAATGAGAAGTTGTATTTGTGAAAAGGCTGAGAGCTAGTCCCCGTAGAAAAGTCTTTTTACACAATTCTAAACCGAGTTTAGCTAAACAGCCTTTAAGCATGTTTAAGCATTGGGGTGAATGGAGCTTTACAAAGGAAAAATTAACTGATCGAGTGCTCGGGATAGACGGCGGCTACCATTGGGAGGTCTGAATTTTGATTCTGTTGATTATTTCCGGTTTTAGTATTTTCCAATTTGAGAAATCCATGTTCAAAAGTAGTATAGGCGTAAGGGATTTCGTTGTACGGTTAAACTTTGCTATATTTGTAGTACGAACTAGGTGACATTTATCAGTATAAAACATATATCTTACGTTTAATACGAATGCTGACGCGAAATACCAGATAATGTATTGAAAATATATTGAAACAAGGGGAACTATTTTGAAAAAGCCTGCGAAGTTTTCTATTCCACCAATGAGGCCTTGGGGCCTGGGATCGAGATCGGTCAAACGCAATCTTTCCTTTTTTGTTCAAAAATGGTTCATGGTTGTTTGCGAATAAAAATGCACTGCACAACCTTTCTTTCCCTTTGATTCTTTATTAGCATATGAAGGAATAACTCAATTAAAGCAAGAGAGGATAAAGCTCTTGATAAAAGATATGTCTCCTTCCAAATCGGTCGAGCAAGAGTTTCTAACAAGTGTCACCATTGTTACTGAGAGAGTGCGGCGCCTAGGGTTAGCATAAGAGTTTATTTTTTGACCTTAAGTTTGGCGTTCTTTATGATTCGCGTATAAATTAACGATGATATACTTGTAGGTGAGGGGATAGAATACACCGTGAGTCCTGAAAGTCCCAAATCCGCTCATACGATTCTTTGTGCTACTAGCAACTTTACGGACTTATTAAACTTGCTTAAGATGACTTTGATACACAACTTCTGCATCTCAAAGATTCTTCCCAACATGCCTGAATCTGGCATCCGATACGAAAGAATATGTTGTTTTAGATAGTTAATAGTTTTTAAATAGTTGAAATTTCTAAATAAGACTCTAGATAGTTTTCTAAAGACTATTTTTGCTTGTTTTTAAATTGCGTCTATTAATGTTAATTTTTATCTTTTTATAGTGATAGTGTGAAATTATTTTAATATTAATTTTGTCTTTATGTTTTACAGAGGGCCACAAGTTCATCAGTTGTTTCATAACTGTCACGTGTTTACCCTCTTTAAATAAAAGCGTTACCTTACCGTTACCTTACCTAATATGGATTTGTATTCATTTTGCCGTTTTCGTTGTTTTTCTCCCTTTCCTTTCCTTTATTAATTTCTTTTTTATATATGTATTTTTTTATATCGTTAGTTTTAACGCTTTCTTTAGCTCCTTTCTTCCATCAAGGGTAATCCGAAGGTTCAAGCTTTGAAACATCAAAAAAATTGTTAAAAGAACTAATTTAAAATAAGTATTGTCTGGGCGGTGATCTTGAGAGATTTTCGCGGTTGACCCATGTCTGACTGTTTCAGTTGAGTAGAAAAAAACTCCTCCTTTTTAAGCCTTTACCTGTTCTTCGGGGTTTTTCACAGGTGGTTTGACAATTGTATCATAAAAACTCAGCAGTGAGCAAGCTTTTTTTAAAAAAAAAAACCAAATAGATGGTTAAGCCTAAGAAATCAAGATTACAACCGAAAGGAAACAATATAATACACGATGAATGCTTCGACGTGAGCTGTAATTGCCTGGGAATAGGTAATCTGTAGAGAACAATACGTTCCGCCGCGGCTTTTCTGTTGATTGGCAACGGTTAAATTGAAACCATTGAAAACCATTTTTTCAGTTGAAAATTCAAAGAATAGCAGGTAGAAAACGATTTACCGTAAACAGACATTGTAATATTTGGCAGCGCAGGAATCACGCTATTGGTTCAGTATAGTGTTGGGTACTAAGACTCATTTGGCCGGTGGCTAAAATGTTGTATCGCTCCATCAACTTTTGGCTGTTGGACTTGACTGCAAGTCTACTGGTCTTCATAAGTGCATGGTACGGCAAAATGACACGAAGAAGAATGCAACTAAGAGGGGAACGAGAGACAGTCTCCTCCGCGAGCAAAGTAAAGCCGGCACAAAGCGATGAAGTCATGACTTGGAACCTAGGAACTACGTTGTGGCGATTGTTTTTGTACACTGGTTATTTCGCGATGATGGCTTTGTCTGTTGTCATATTTCAGTCCCATCCATACTTTATGATCTTTGTTCAGCACATCACGGTGATCTTCTCCATTTGCGTGGCTTTTCTCCAGTGGTTCCAACCGCTTTTAGCGTTGTGTCTTGGAGGCTTCTTCTCCGTAACCTGGATTGCCAGCGCCTCTACCTCCTTTCGTTGGGTTATGAATGACATGGTCATTGCTTTGTTTTCGATTCTAGTCAGTCATGTACATTTTCGAAACTTTCCTTCACTGCAAATGTTTTTATGGACTGCTGTTGTCTACGACATTTGCCTCGTGAAAGTACTTTCAAGCGGTCTCCCTTCACTGTTTAGTAAATTTANTTGCTTTGTTTTCGATTCTAGTCAGTCATGTACATTTTCGAAACTTTCCTTCACTGCAAATGTTTTTATGGACTGCTGTTGTCTACGACATTTGCCTCGTGAAAGTACTTTCAAGCGGTCTCCCTTCACTGTTTAGTAAATTCAGCTGCAAAAGCGTGCTATGTAATGCGTTTGAAATCAATAACGAATGGGAACTTCCTACTATTTTCACTTTTAAGCTGGGCCCACGAGAGGGCCACGTATTTCTTGGTGCTGGTGATATCGTTATTGGCTGTATGGTGGCCAATTTTTCACAAATGTTTTTCAAGTCTTCCAAATACTTATCAGGGACGGTATGTAGTTACGCTTTGGCGATCGCCTTATTGAGCAGAATCGAAGAAGAGCCATATCCTGCCTTAGTCACCATTGTTCCACTATGTACTTGCCAGTTGGTGCTGTCAGCCTTTTTGTCACGTAAAGCCAAAAAATTGTTCTCATTTACGTGCTTTGATAGAGATAGAACAGCAGGAGGGTTGGGCCGAGATATAGAATTTGTGATTTAACTATAAGCTCCGATTTCATCTCCACGAAATGGCTGTTTACCGTTTTGACATGTTTTGCTGGAAGGGAGCTAATTCAGGGTTGATTCGTAATTGACAAGCCGAGATTGACAAACCGATTTTGACAAGGCAGAAAGAATCAAATTCAATGCAATGCAAAGAAAGACATGACATTTCGAAGAGATTCATTTTACTTCACAGTTCTTAAATTAGGACCAAAATGAGAAAATTTAACTGTCCCAAGTAATTCTTCTGCATAAACTCTACATTCGAAACTACATATTTTTTAGTAGCAGTTTTATGAACAGTAAACCGGGGACAAGCATGGTCAAGTGATATGACGTTTGCCGTAAACGTAATTCCAGTCTAAAGGTCTCTAATATCTGGCTTTGAAGTTTAATAAATGGGCATCAACAATTACCTTGTTTATACTATGATTCATTATGATCCTTGTAGAACTCCTTTCTCAGTTCCCTCTGGCCTGCGTGGCAGGCGTTCGAAAGGGAGAGGAATTTGGTTGAGAGACCGCGCGCGAGGGATAAGGGAGGAGGGAAAGGTTCCTTTTCCTTTCCCTTGCGCGCCTTTCGCGCTTCTCGCGCGCCCGGAATCTCCTTCCCATTTCCTTGTAAACGCCTGCCTCACAGGCTACACGCACTCTGCCTTCACTGCCGGTTAACTTGAATTTTTGACATTTTGATTCTTGACAGGCTGAGTACTATTACCGCTATGCCATGCTGATGAGCCCTAATAAGGGTGAAACAGCTGTCCATGACTGCCACTGCCTGGGTGATATGGCTGTGCGCGTGCGTCAGGTACTGGCAGGAGCCGATTAGTGGTACTGCCCAGGCCGTGGGTTGGTGTGTGCCCCTTGCTTTAAATTTGTCTCATAATGGGTGTGCCGCAAAATATCTTCTGACAATCGCGGTGTAGTCAAAACCGCAACCTCATTGAAAAGATTCATCCTCCAATCAACAACAACAACAATCGTTATTACTAAATGCATAATTAGTGCATGACGTTTATACTCGTCCTCCGCAAACTAGCATGGTCCATTTTTTAGGCGGAGACAGGATAGAGACTCAGTAAGTTCGACAGTCCTCCAGATAATTTCCACGAGAAAAGTGAAGAGGTTTCCAAGCTTATTTACCTACGATCTATTTACATACTGTAAAAGAAGGTTTCAAAATATGGCAAGAACACACAATTTACACAGGCCTTAATCAATATTTATTAAGGATACTTCATATACTGAACAACTCGTTAGTAGATATCTTCTTATGATGTCCAATAATAACTTGATTTTTTTTCCAATAGTATATACAATACACCAGCAGAAGTTCTTTATATAGTTTTTCTCAATACGATCAGCATAATGCTACAATTCAGGGATTTTTGACAAATAAGGAAAATAAATGTTACTGATACTATTTGTACAATGAGGACTGTGCGCAGAGTATTTCATTTATGACACTTGTCAGTCATGAGAAATGATCTGATTGTTAGAATCTTATGTGTAACGAGGGAAAAAGTGTCGAATTGTGGGGAAGGGAAAAAGGGAGAGGGATTGGGGCGAGTAAGCTCTCTTCCCTTTTCCCTTTCGCGCTTTCTCCCGTCCTCTTTTTCGCTGACCAGGTCTCTATGGATCCTGCGTTCTTCGGCATATTTGCTTGCGGTCCTTTGCAGTCCTTTGTGGTTAATGTTTTTACATCAGGTATAGCCTACGTGGCAGGCATTTGAAAGGGGAGAGGGAAAGGGAGTTTTAGGTGCGAGAGAAACGCGAGACCGGGGCTCTCCTCACGTTTCTCTCGCGTCTTAACAACTCCCTTTCCCTCCCCTTTCAAACGCCTGTCACGCAGGTTACATCAAGCAGTAAAAATTTGTAAAAGTATTAAAAGCTTTTAGTTAAACTAACTTAAGTTATATACAACCTAATTATATACAACTCTTATGAAGAAAAAGCCTGCTTTACATGAATGCCGTGTCGGAATTAATGTCTTGGTAACTTGCGAAATGAAGTTAGCGTGTCTGCCTGCCTAACGTTCGAATGTAGTCTGTTCCAGGGAACCGCACCACCATAGCTAAAGCTATTTTTGTAATAGTTGGTACTAGCAGGGGAACAGCAAGCTTATTTGCAGAATTTCAGTCATAACGGTTATTGATGTCACTACGTAGAACAAATTTACAATCCGGTGATAAGCCGTTTAAAGATTTATAGACCATTTCTGCTTTATAAGAATCTGACGTCGAGTCTCTAGGTTATCCCAATTTAGTTTTTTCAGCAATTGGGGAGCGTCAGCTTCATAGTTGGAGAAGGTGGTACACGAGCTGCACGATTTTGGGGTTTTTGTAACTTATTAGGGAATTTTTTTACCACAACTACCCCATACAACACTACACAGAATCGAACAGTTCAGTCTGAGGGTAGAATCCTGAGTCAAGGTCGGTTTTGCTGCATTTGTTAAAGCTCGTCTGAACTGTTTTTCAATTTAATGTACAAGGCAATTCCATGTTTAAAAGTAAACAATTTGCGTGAAATCCAACATGGCTACGATAATGAAAGGTTAATTTATTGTAAAATCGAGACGAGCGATTCCTCATAAGAGAAATAGTAAGGTAAGTACACGCAGTGGGGGGCTCAAGTGTTACCCTGAGATTACTGCAGAAATCGATGGGCATTGCGGATCTCAAAAAGCGCTCTATTTAGCACACGTATATAATGTTCCTCGAGATCGCTTGTCAGCGGACTTTTAAAGGCTTGCAGGATCAAGCCAAGGATCCGAAATAAGTTGTTTGTTGATTGAGTAGGATTTCTAAACTTTTTCCTAGCCTGAGTATTATCCCCAATTGTCTTTTTCTCAGTACTTTCTATTTCTCTTAACCGATTATCTGTGGAGCGTTTTACGCCACGTGGGCTTGCTCCTGTTTTTGGCACGGTACCATTCATATCGTATGGGGTGTTACGTTTGCTTGGAGATTGGTTGGTTGCTTGAGTGGTGTTGGCTATGACGTCGATGTGGACAGTACCTGTATCTTGGCCTGAAAAAGCTTGTCCAATCCCCACTTGCTCGGCGTTTTCCAGCAGAACAGAGTCATTCGATTTCATCCTGGTTCCCAGACTGAGGGTTCTCTGAAACTGCATGACGGGCTGATTTTGCACTTTTGTTTGATCAGAGGGTGTGTTGTGAATACTTGGAGCAGCTTGTAGAGTTCTTAGCTCCAGTTCACCAGTTATTTGTGAGGGAGAAAACACCTGGTCACCACCTCCATCAAGGATACTGAGCAGATCGTTCTCTGACAAGTTGAAAGGGATGAGGTTGTTTTCATCGCCCAGAATGTTTAAGATGTCTATTAGATCCTGATCCCATAAACTAGCCGCATTTTGTCCTGCAGCAGTTAACCCCATCTCTGTGTTTTGAGCGATGCAGCTGGTGATTTAAATAAATATATAAACACGTTAACTGGAAGATTCCTATTCTGCGTACTAGGCAGGCGCCAGTTTTTTTTAGAACGAAGAAAAAATCTAGAGGATCACAGATACTCTACTTTATTTCGTAATATTACTTGCACATAAATAAGTTAGCACCTAAAGATTTATCTTTGGATGAATTCAAGGATAAAATCAGTTGGAGGTATGACTTCGAAAAACTGCCTTCTTCAATTAGTAAGAATTCAACTTACCGGAATAATCTGTTAATTAACAGGTCTAATGCTATTGCGTTTTCGCTTTTATGTAATTTGGTCCAATCTGTAATACTGTTATATACTTTCTTTTTGTTTTAAAATTTTGTGACTGTATCATGTGTAAATAAACGACTATTAAAAAAATCTTTCTCTGGACCAAAATCCCATTCTGAGCGTCTGTTCAAATCTCTCAACCCAACCTCGTTCCCAGAGTTCTCTCCTACCCGCCCTCCGGAGCGAGTGGGAGAGAACCCTGGGAACGAGGTTGCTCTCACCCTGCGTAAGCTCAATAATGTCATTGAATCACAGATACTCTCTTTTGTTTATCATTAGTCACGCAGACTGTTACCCCCCACCCCCCGTTTCAGTGAATATTTCAAATTTACCTTTTCGGTTCATTGCTATTCAACGCGGCAATTATGTAATAGAAATTTATATGTAGCCTCAGTTAATACCACCCAATATGGCTTACGCTCCCTAAAATTCACTGGTCCTCGTCTTTGGAACTCCTTGCCTACAAGTATAACTAATTCAAATTCTCGTAGAATATTTCGTAAAACCCTTAAGAACGCTATCCTCAATTGTTATTCTAATTAATTCTCTTCCTTAGCGCATGAAGAAATCCTGTTTATAGAATAGATATATTCTTAATTCTGTCTGTAATTGTATTTTATTGCAGGGGTCATCCACTAGATGGATGATCCCAACTCGCTCTCTATTTTGTTGTTACAAGTTTTCTTTTTTTCCTTAATTGTACTGCCTATCTAAATTTAACCTTCATGTCATGTAAAACAGAGCTGAGAGCTGAGTTTAACAAATCATCATCTCATCTCTCATCTCATCTGCTGCGCAAATCTCGAGCGTCTTGACGTATGGTGATAGAGCTATGCGGAAAGTTAAATTTCTTCCGCGAAAATAGTTTTCTGCTAAAATTTAAATATTGAATCAATTTTCGGATGCGGAGAGGACAGATACACCAACATAATCGTGTTTTTCGAATAAAATCAATAGTAATAAGATTCGTGAATCCCTTCGAAGCATGAAGACTTCCATGCACAGAGAATAGTCAAAGCACAATTCATTATCAGTCGTATAAGTACGATGAATGGATGGTACCTTCAAAACTTCTCCGGAAATACGTAGCCTCACCTTGATTTAGGCACATTTCCATGCATCTTTGTCTTTCTAGTGTTGTTGTTCATAGTCTGTAACTTCAGATTTGCACAACCCGGGAGCACACAATCCGGTCTCGTACATGGGACGTGTACGGTAGGCTGGCGTATCGTAGCAGGGGAATCCCGCAGGAATCGTGGTGGCATGTTCTTTCTATTTGTCGCGGAGAACATACTCCCTATAAAGTCAAACTGTTTTGACATAAGAATAAGTTGTAAATGTTAACTCCATCGCCTGTTATAGGAAGTTGAGCACTTGACCNGCGGAGAGGACAGGTACACCAACATAATCGTGTTTTTCGAATAAAATCAATAGTAATAAGATTCGTGAATCCCTTCGAAGCATGAAGACTTCCATGCACAGAGAATAGTCAAAGCACAATTCATTATCAGTCGTATAAGTACGATGAATGGATGGTACCTTCAGAACTTTTCCGGAAATACGTAGCCTCACCTTGATTTAGGCCCATTTCCATGCATCTTTGTCTTTCTAGTGTTGTTGTTCATAGTCTGTAACTTCAGATTTACACAACCCGGGAGCACACAATCCGGTCTCGTACATGGGACGTGTACGGTAGGCTGGCGTATTGTAGCAGGGGAATCCCGCAGGAACCGTGGTGGCATGTTCTTTCTATTTGTCGCGGAGAACATACTCCCTATAAAGTCAAACTGTTTTGAGATTAGAATATGTTGTAAATGTTAACTCCATCGCCTGTTATAGGAAGTTGAGCACTTGACCCTGGGCTATGGAAAGATCCATTCTATCTTCATTTTACTTCTACTTACAACCAAACTAAACAAACTGACATCAGATTAACAAAAAACTCATGAGAGGATTTATTACCCTTTAAATGGACCTTTAATCAGTTTGTTCCCAATTTAATTTTGATGCCGAGGAGACTGAATACTGTCAATTGACGGCTTTAAACAATTTGATCTGATATCAGAAAATCTGGCGAGTAAAAAGCAGCAAAGGCAGTTTAAGTTATTACAAACTTACCGAGCCCTATGACTTCCTCTTTCTTCGATAGTGTGCATGCACTAGCTCAAAACAAAATTTCCCGTAAATGAAAAAACTCCAGTTTTTATGTTCAAGTTAGTTTATTGTTCTAGCATTTTCGCCGAACAAAGGAATTTTTCGTTTGTTTGTTAACTTATTTATTTAACCTTATTCAAACCAAGAACGTAAAGCTCTCTCTTTGATAGGCTCGATTATCAGACCGGCGATCTTCGTAAAATAAACCGATGCACGCTCCTCGAGAGAGCGGCGGAAATCGAGCCTAGTTTAATCATCAAACAATTTCTCTTTATCGTATTCAATATCTGTTACCTTCCATTGTTAATCTCTTTTACCGGTACGATTGAAAATAAAATGCACATCTTAAACCAAGCCTTCTTCTATAGCGCCTGAAATCAGCGTGGAGAAATATTAACTCAGGAACGTAGCATCCACATACGGACATACCCCCGTGCTTACATAAACAGCTGGGATGACTGACACATTTTTTATATATTTAGTATTTCCTTTAACCTTTCATTATTCCATAATTATGATGGCGTCACTGGTCTTTTTCCCCATCACACTGTTCCTTACCAACAACCCTAGAGATGGGTAAACTGTAAACAACTAACTACTGCATATTCTTGCTTATTAAGTTTAAAAGTTAAGACCCCCGGGTTGAGCCGCCTTTGGCGTTACAACTTTTCTTAACTCTTCTCCGCAGGCGTACAATCTCACGCTACGCTACGCCGGTACGATTGAAAATAAAATGCACATCTTAAACCAAGCCTTCTAGCTTCTGTAGCGCCTGAAATCAGTGTGGAGAAATATTAACTCAAGGAACGTAGTGTCCATATACGCACATACCCACGTGCGTACATACAAACCTAAATATGGAAAAAATAGACTCTTTGTTTCCTGGAAAAGTATGTTTATCATTTAATCGGGATGATTGATACATTTTTGATACATTTAGTACTCCTTTAACTTTTATTATTCCATAATTATGATGACGTCACTGGTCTTTTTTCCCCATAAACACTGTTCCTTACCGACAACCCTAGAGATGGGTAAACTAAACAACTACAGACTGCTGCATCATTCCTGCTTATCAAGTTCAAAAGTTCAGACGTCCCAGGTTTAGCCGCCTTTGGCGCTACAACTTTTCTTAACTCTTCCCCGCGTGCGTACATCTTCAAAATCTCACGCTACGCCACTGTAACTTCGACTGAAATGGATGACTTGAGCTACTAAAACATGGTCACTGCAATCTGCAATAGAATCTGACTTCGAAACTGAGCTTCAGAGTCTTAAATCTGCAGATGAAGACCCCCTTACAAGAGAGATCCGTCTCAAGTTACGTCTCGAGGAACTGTAGTTGCATTCCTGATAGAAAGATTTACACTTCACTAAACTGAATTTGAACAAGAGTTTTCTTGAAAGTGACAGAGGCTGTCTATTCTTGCTGTTCCTTTTTTTTTTTTACATAGGCTGTTTAGATAATGTAATTGTTAGACGGGTTTGAATATAGGGGAATTTCACTCTCTCTCCCTGCCCCTACCCCATCACTTTTTTTGATCCCATCCTCTCCAACTGAACGCTTGGAACA